TGTGTATCCTACACAAGACAAAGCATCCCTTAAACGAATGCCGAGCGTTCCGAGCCAAACCAATCGAGGAACGCAAGGAACTGTTAAGACAGAACAATGTGTGCTACAAGTGTTGTGAGTCAACCACACACAGAAGTCGGGACTGCAACACAAGTATCAGTTGTAATGAGTGTGGAAGTCAACGACACACCACCGCACTACACATAACAAGGGTGCAACCGCACGAACATTCTCAATTTAGTTCCTCTGGAACAATCTACGGCGGGGAGCAGACAGAGTCCGCTGAAATAAAGTTAACCTCTGTGAGTTCAACCGGCACAGAGATCCACAAAGATCCTAAGAGTGAGAAATCTTGTGCCAAGATATTACCTGTGGATGTGTACCACAAGCACAGCACAGACAAAATTATCCGGATGTACGCCATCATTGACGACCAAAGTAACCGGTCTCTTGCCTCGCCTGAATTCTTCAGTCTGTTCAACGTTCGAGGTAAACGCGAAAACTACTCTCTAACAACATGCTTCGGCAGAGTATCTACTTCAGGGAAAAGAGGAAAAGATTTCGTCTTAAAATCTGTACATGGTGACGTACAATTTCATCTGCCTACGTTAATTGAATGTAATAATATTCTCAATAATCGAGACGAAATTCCTACTCCTGAAGTCGCAATGCATCATCCGCATCTAAAAGAACTCAGAGGAAGCATTCCACCAATAGAGGAACATTGTCAAATTCTTCTCTTAATTGGAAGAGACCTTATAGAGGCACACCACGTCCTTGAACAACACCTAGGACCATCCAGAACTCCATTTGTCCAAAAGTTGAAACTTGGTTGGGTCATAATTGGAAATACATACATTGACAAGCAAACTGTTCCGCTTGAAGTCAACACGAAGATAACTAACATTTCAATCACGGAACCAGAACAACGTCTTGCCTCAAGACCGGAAATAGCCTTCAAGGACGAAAATCAAATTGTTGTTCAGGATAACGACCAACACTTTAATTCAAAGCCAAGGTTGCAAAATCGCATTCCATACAATTCCTTGAGTGTACTGGACCTAGTACCAAATCTGGTAAACTCACGAATTTCTCTAGAGAGACAGCACTCGTGTCACTAAAAGCAAAATCTGTGACTTCTATTGAAGACCTGAAGTTCATGGAGAGGAAATCAGTCGCATTCACAAACCTATTTAGAAAGAAGGACCGATTGCCAATCTCAAGGTGCCTTTTAACAATCAACGTCTACTCCGAATAGGAAGCAGTATCGCCACGTCCGACTTGAATATTAGTGAAAAGGAACCGGTGGTCTTTTCTTGACATCATCACAAAGTTACACCCTTTGTTCGACATTACTACGACAAAATCAAACATCGAGGTCGCCACTTCACAGATAAAGCGACTAGATCAGCAGGATGGAACGTTAGGACGAAACGCTTAATTTCGTCTGATACTCACAAAGAAGCGACATTTCGCCAAATCGGACGAGGACCAAGTACTTACTCTCATCATACTTACCGGAGGACCATCTTCGACCGTCATCGCCGTCTAACAACGTTGGAGGAATTAAAGTTCCTATTATCAATGGAACATTCTACAGAACACAACAATCTCATCCGATACATCCTTCTTCTAAAGAACAAGAAACTGTGCCAAACCCAGTTTCCCGTGGAATTAATTTATTCATGAAACTTTATAGTGAAAAGTCGTAAGTTGAGACCTGATATTTTTCACACGACCAATAGTGAACATTTCACCTGTACATATTCAATGTATGTTGGGATTTAGTTTTTTTTCTTATATTCATATGCGATTAATTTATGGAATAGTGATATCAGAAAGACATCAGTTTACGCAGTTCCTCAATTTATATAGTTTGTTTAATTATATTCTTAATCTGTTTATGTGTTCCAGTCTAGGAGGATTATTCATCTTTAACCCGATAAGAACTTGTAAGAACTTTAAAACATCGTATCATCGTTACCTTTTCCCTTTCTTACACGTATCTCGAACTGAATTGCAAGGTCATCCCAGTATTGGAGAACATTTAAGGACAAACATCATTTCGGACACAATTCGTGGCTATTAAACCACAGAGTGGGTTAATTTTATAACATTGTATCTAAAGCCTTCAAATTGCTTTTCACATATTTGGACCTTTTCTCCGTGAAATACTGGAAATTTAACTGTTCTTGAAAGTACAATATTTTCTCGCATTCAATGGACTGTGCTATCAATCATATATGACATTTCGTTATCATAACATTAATTTAACACATTGTAAAATTGTATTTTATTTGTATTTCAGCTTTTTACCATTTGTTAGATTGATTCATAATTAAAGTATCAGCACCAGATAGTCTTTTCTGCTTGAGCCCAATCGTCGGTTATACCTAATGGTCAGGTCATAACAATTTTTCGTTTTTTGAGGCATATTTCTACTAAGATAAAATTTACATATTCGCAATTTTATTTTTGATTGAAAACAAATGCTTAATATATTTTAAGTATGTTATTTGTTCTTTAACTGTAACAATAGTTGAATCTGAATAGTTGAAACAAATATTACAGAATTTAGGGGTAACAAAAATTGAATTAAACCAGATATAAACTTATGTGTCATCTGTGAAAGTGCAACTTGGCTTCTCATATGCTCAATATGAATAAAATTAGTGTCATAACTATACATCTACAACTTTAAAAACCAAATGATTGCAAGTTCCTATTTAAAACATTCAAAGAAGTTTACAATATAACATTATTTTTTTTCTATTTTCAGGAATAAAAACGGTAAGGATATTCGTACATATAAACAAAAATACTGTCCAGGTTTTTCAACTACAATATTTTTTTACACAGATTTCTATATGTAGAAATATAGCTTTCGTTAGTCGATCTCTTTTTTCCTATTCTACTTTTGAATTAAAAAAAAACATCCTTCAATTCGATTTTCGCAAAGCCGCATTTTGAACGTCCAAATTTTAAAACTGTTCGATTTTCTTGTTTGACTGGTAGTGTAGCATTTATTAGTTAGTTCTTTCATATTTTAGGCTGTCTTTGGCATTAGTTATTTAGTATGTTACTTGTTCACTTTTCAATTTTGTTTCCTTCATTAAAGTTGGTAATCATTGATATATGATATAATAAGCTTCTGTGTTTCTAGATTTATGTATACTTATTATTTGTTATGTTCGTTGTCATATTTCCTTGATATCAAAAGCTTCACAGGTTGAATTCCGTTGTCAATTAATCTGTATTTTTCAGACGTCAATATATGTAATAAGTATTGTTTCGAGTCATATAGTTTGCATAACAATGAGAAGATGTGATATAATTGCAGATGATACAACTCTCCACCAAAGACCAAATGACATCAACGATAAAAAAAAATACAGATAACCTACGGCCTTTCAAATTAAGCAAGACCCATACAAAAAGAATATTTCTAACATCAAATTTGAGTTCAGTTATTTCACATTTAGTCGGCAAATGGAGATTGCCAATATTTCGTTTTCATTTTTGACATATGCACTGTTGTTTTAGATCCGTGGCATTGGTTCCTCCATGCAAAACGGTAAAAGAAATGTTTTTGATAAATATTAGAATTCATGTAATAAAAGTCGTACAATATTTCGTGTTAAAAGTCGTACAATATTTCGTAAACGATTTTATTCTTTGCAAATTGGTATAACTGTAATTGTACTGCATCTTATTCAAATTTTGCTCCAAATGTATCACTCTAAATGCTAAAAAAACACAGAGACTTTTTAATATATTTTTTTTTTCAATTAAGCAAGTTCAGCATCATTGATAAACGAGGCACTATTATACTAATTCGTATTAATTATTTATGACACGATTGGAAGAATATGTCAACAAATTTCATCATCTTAACCTATGCACAAAAAAATCAATACAAACAAATGAACGTAACAAGAAAAAGCAACAAACACTAATCGCTGCATATTCAAAAGCTAAGAGTGTATAATTACTTAAAACAGATAACAATAGGTGCAAATGTCAGCAACAAAGACTGACAAATAGCTAAATGCATCTTATTTCAACTTTGTTAGAGAGAGAGAATTGGATCCATAACTGCTCAACAAATTTATATACGAATAATTTAGGATATGTAGGTTATAACTCATGTTTAAACCAAGTCTGGAAATTTGTTAATTGACTGATTGTGTTTTATTCCCTTTCTAGAAATATTGAATGTGGTTTGATTAGTTTCTCTGGTAAAAATTTCATAGCAGTAGACTAAATTATTGTTCGTGCGATGTTCTCACTTTTATATATTTCATAATAGAAAAAGAGCATATAGTTTATTCTAAACAAGAGTAAATTACTGTCGTGTAGCATCGCATATGGTACATGCATATTGCCCTGAGGAATAACGTGTATTACGTGTACACAAACTTCTCTGTTGCCTATTTAGATCATGTCTCGTCACAATAAAACACACAATAAATATCTTTATCCTAAAGTTACAATAACAGAATGACCACTAATTCGCAATGAAATTTGGAAGCATGATATCAATATACTTTTCCTTGTTTTTTATGTATTAAAGACTTTTTTTAGGTATTTGTAAAACGTTTAACGTTACGGGTCTTCTGATCTTTGAGTCACAAAGCAAACCGATGCTTGTTGACTTTCAGTTAATGAACAGTACTATTCATATCCGACAAGGAAGCTCTTCCTCTGATGTAAGATTATCTTAATGATATATTTGATTTGTGAATTCCTACCTGTCAAATAATGCAAGTATACTAATATCAAGGTTGCATTATCTTAGGCAAAGAAACAAAGCAATAACTTTGTTTTTTGCATACATTAAGATTGTTTCTGGATTTTTTTATTATTATTATTTGTTTATTTATTTATTTACACAAAATATCAATTAGTTAGACACAGGCTACCATTTCATTTCTTGTTTTTAAAACTTATGTCAGATTTACTGTTTAGGGAATAATATTGAATTTCTTGTTATCAAAAACTGCATATTTAATTCCAGAACCTGATTGCTCACAAGAACAATTAGAAGAATATGCCGTCTGTTCCCATCTAAATGCTCTAAAGTTAAACCCAAAGTCGAATAAAAAACGAGGTATGCATGTAGTCGTAAAAGAAAGATTATAAATGAAAGAAAAATACATTATATGCCAGTCTACTTCTTATTTCACCTTTTATAATTTTTACTGCAATGTTTCTATCACTGCAGATAACAAAAGAAAGAGTCATATGACTAAACGTAATTCATTAGTAGTTATGTACCGCTGTAATTATCTCTCTTTTCTTTATATGTCTGTAACACCGAAAAGGTAAGTACTCTATGCTGGAACTGTTTTGTTTGAATCAAGTCATTTGCAGTCTACTCAAATTTTAACAAACGACAATATTGTTGTGAGGACTATATTTATATTGTTTCCGACTTTTTTCTTGCGAATTATCATATAAAACCTTTTTCCTAAGTAAACAATCCGTCCCATGGATGCATGTAGTAGGTAGCCACAGCGTCAGCAAATGCATGCATTTGTAAACAATATCTGATCAGAAACTGTAATTTTGAATTGTACAACATTTTATTGAATTGTTGGAAAAGCTACTGAACATTACTGAATTGACTGCAGGCATATTGTTTGAACAGTACTGAAATTTCCGTTGTGGATAAGACTGAAAATTGAGTGAACGATTGAGTATGACTATATAATTTATTGTTCAGACTTTTCAGATAATGTTTAGATCGAAATGAACGTTTTCGACTTATATTCTACTAGTGATGAAATGAATGATACATTTTGTTTGTGAAATAATACATTTTTGTAGTTTATGAAATTGCAGTTTACTTTTTCAGTTCACCTTATATAGTTGAAGCTGTTGTGTTTAAGTTCATTCTTGTATGTTTTGTAAAGAATCGTTGTATGTATCTTGCATTTTAAATATTTGGTCCCCGAGAAGGTGTCAGACTACCAATTCAAAATCCCTATCTATTCAACCAAATTTTGTACTTGTAACAGCTTTCTTAACATTTGACCTTAAGTTTAACTTCATAGAAATCAGGTATATTCTGAAGTGTACATGACGGCTTAGAACTAGCTGTCATTAACTGCGAGTACTTTCAGATCAGTACTTAGTGTCTTTTTGTTGGTGGGATATACAAGTACCCGGCCACGTTCACTCTGTGTTTTTGTTAGATGTATTTCTATTTGTATCCATCTGATAAGTTGAGTCTTTTTCAACTGATTTTCATAGTTTGTTCTTATGTTGTACTGTTACAACACTGTCCCAGGTTAGGGGGACGGTTGGGATCCCGCTATCATGTTTAACCCCAACCCATTATGTATGTGTCGCAGGAAAAATGGGACACCAATCTATCGCCAAACTGGGTGAAGATAAAGTCACCAGAAACCACAAAGACTTTAGGCGTGGTATTAACTGAGGGCCATTTCCTGCATGAAACGAGTCGTCCAAGTTATAATACTTTATTATATGAATCTGTAAATATACAAATTGTAAGCCAAGTTTACAATGTGTTCCAATAGATATGAACAGTATGCACAACTGATATATTCACATGTTCAACGGAGCTATATTCTGACATTTACTAATATATCAAAATGCGGCCTTCAAGCCAAATTATTTGACGTCAATCATCAAGGAACATGAATATAAAATATGAATATGATATGAATGTGAAACATATAAAACTGAAAACACAAATAACATAAAATGTTTAAAAAATGGAACAAAATGGACACATATATCAGGTTACACACACACACCCTCCTGCAAAATGTTTCGTCTCGAAACTATCTCGAAATCAATATATCAAAACTATGACACTTTTGAAATTTGAACAATCTAGATGCGCATGCGGCAAACGCCACTATACCATATAGCAATGACCAAAATTCAGGACACTTCAATAGGATTCACATACAAATAAAAAATTACAAAATTTTCCCTCATTACTTTGAATTCCCGTTGACAAAGATCAATCCAAATTCTTGCTAAATCAAACGTAAGATGTGATACAAATATCTAAATTTCCCACTTTTACATTTATGTACAAAAGAAAAAATGGAGTGATAACATGATTCGTATGATTAAATTCTTTCGGTTGTCTAAGTTGTCACGTGATAAAGCAATACACATTCACTTTCACTAATATTAAATAACATCAAACATATTTACATGATGTAGTATGAGTTTCCCGGTAGATATGCGCATTATGAGAAATATGAATTTCAAATATACCTTTCAAACATCAGGGTTTCACAATCGTAAATTCACTTTATACAAAGCAGTTGCTCACATCAAAGTTGACAAATATTTGTTGTCTCACCATGAAGTAGCGGTACGTTGTTCTGGAACGACATTCTTGACTTGACTGTATAATAATATAAACGGCAAACGCCAAATACTGGTAATGACGGACCTGGACTTCACAAGACCATTCTCGTTATAAAATGTAGAAATCTACGTTGTCAAAACCATATAAAGTTGGACTATCTCGGTGGAACCTCCAAAATGTCGAAAAAATGAAAAATGGGACACAAATCTATCGCCAAACAGGGTGAAGATAAAGTCACCAGAAACCTCAAAGACTTTAGGTGTGGTATTAATTGAGGACCATTTTCTGCATGAAACGAGTCGTCCAAGTTTACATACAACGGAGCTATATTCTGACATTTACTAATATATCAAAATGCGGCCTTGTTGCCTAACTGAATTCTCTATTTGAATAACTTAAATATCTTTGCTTTAATTGAAACATTTAAACATGGCTAAACGAATAAATAAAGTTGCAAGTACCTGTAGCGGCGACTCTCGTCATCCGCCCTTCCTAATATATATATTGACCATTGACTAACTAAAAAGTGCTTATAATTATATATATATATATAAAAAGAAGATGTGGTATGATTGCCAATGAGACAACTCTCCACAAGAGACCTAATGACACAGAAATTAACAGGAGCCTGTAATTCAGTGGTTGTCGTTTGTTGATGTGTTACATATTTGTTTTCGTTCATTGTTTGTAAATTATGCCGTTAGTTTTCTCGTTTGAATTGTTTTACATTTGTCATTTCGGGGCCTTTTATAGCTGACTTTACGGTATGGGCTTTGCTCATTGTTGAAGGCCGTATGGTGACCTATAGTTGTTAACTTCTGTTTCATTTTGTCTCTTGTGGAGAGTTGTCTCATTGGCAATCATACCACATCTTCTTTTTAGTCAAAAAAGCGAGACATAGCGATCCTACATTCCGTCGTCGGCGTCGTCCACAAATATTCACTCTGTGGTTAAAGTTTTGGAAATTGTAATAACTTTCTTAAATTAAAACTATCCTGGATTTCTACCAAACTTGGAAAGAAGCTTGTTTATGATCATAAGATAGTATCCAGAAATAAATTTAAAAACCAAAATTCTGTTTATTAGTATTTTATTTATAAATGAACTTAGTTTTTCTGCCAGTAAACATTACATTCACTCTGTGGTTAAAGTTTTAAAAGTTTAAATAACTTTATTAAACTATCCTGGATTTCTATAAAACTTGGACAGAAGCTTGTTTATGATTAGAAGATGGTATCCGGAGGTCAATTTGGTAAAAAAAAATGTTTACTTATAAGTAGACCTAGTTTTTCTGCAAGTTAACATTACATTCACTCTGTGGTTAAAGTTTTTAAAGTTTTAATAACTTTATTAAGCTATCCTGGATTTCTATATAACTTGGACAGAGGCTTGTTTATGATAAAAAAAAAAACAGGTATCTAGAAGGAAATTTTGTAAAAATAATTCCAGTTTTTCCGTACGTTACTTATATATGGACTTAGTTTTTCTTCCAGTTAACATTACATACAGTCTGAAGTTAAAGTTCGTAAAACATTTATTAGAATTATAAAGTAGGCAAGAAGCTGAACCCTTACGAATTTTGTATATGTATCATCTTTCTACATGCCAGTTTTCACCCTACCTTTCAAGTCTTACCTCCGAAACACAAGTTTTACCAAATAACCACTGGTTATCTGGAAAACGGAAATTAGTATACTATAGAGCGCATTAATCCTCAATTTTAATTTAAACTCATTAACAAGTAAATTTTGCCTCAAAATGATTTAAAAATATTTCGCTTTCACCAAATGTGATGGTTAATTAAGTCTCCCAAACGAAGTTTGGGAAGACTTATTGTTTTTGCTCAGTTCTTATTATTATTATTATTCTTCTTCTTCTTCTTCTTCTTCTTCTTCTTCTTCTTCTTCTTCTTCTTCTTCTTCTTCTTCTTCTTCCGCCGCTTTTAAATTTGAACTTGTCCGCACCCGTTCTCCAAAACCGCTTGTCAGATTAACTTAGGGTTTCACAATATGTTAGACTAACATGTCTAGTGGTGCAATCAGGGTTTTGTTTGTGCAATGGGGTTTATAAAGGGGTACTTTGAGGGGCAAAAAGAAAAGAGGGTTTTACTATAGAACCCTATGGGATTTTATTTTTTGAAATTTTCAAATGATTATAAATTGAAAACCGTTTGTGATAGACACAATCTTTTTAATTGAAAATGTTCTAAATGATAAAGCCCATTTAATGAAATACAGGGTTAGTCCCCAGGGGCCACCCCCACCCCCTGCCATTTAAGAACGTTCTAATACCTTGTAAGTGGTCAAGATCCCCACCCCTAAACCATATATATTTTGGTTTGTTATGCTAAGATGGTTTGAATGATATACAGGGTTAGTCCCCAGGGGTCATCCCCACCCCCTGCCATTTGAGAAAGTTCTAATATCTTGTAAATGGTCGAGATCCCCACCCCTAAACCATATATATTCTGGTTTGTCATGATAAAGCACATCAAATGTAATACAGGGTTAGTCCCCAGGGGTCACCCCCACCCCCTGCCATTTAAGAAAGTTCTAATATCTTCTAAGTGGTCAAGATCCCCACCCCTAAACCATATATATTCTGGTTTGTCATGCTAAGATGGTTTGAATGATATACAGGGTTAGTCCCCAGGGGTCATCCCGACCCCCTGCCATTTGAGAAAGTTCTAATATCTTGTAAATGGTCGAGATCCCCACCCCTAAACCATATATATTCTGGTTTGTCATGATAAAGCACATCAAATGAAATACAGGGTTAGTCCCCAGGGGTCACCCCCACCCCCTGCCATTTAAGAAAGTTCTAATATCTTCTAAGTGGTCAAGATCCCCACCCCTAAACCATATATATTCTGGTTTGTCATGCTAAGATGGTTTGAATGATATACAGGGTTAGTCCCCAGGGGTCATCCCGACCCCCTGCCATTTGAGAAAGTTCTAATATCTTGTAAATGGTCGAGATCCCCACCCCTAAACCATATATATTCTGGTTTGTCATGATAAAGCACATCAAATGAAATACAGGGTTAGTCCCCAGGGGCCACCCCCACCCCCTGCCATTTGAGAACGTTCTAATACCTTGTAAGTGGTCAAGATCCCCACCCCTAAACCATATATATTTTGGTTTGTTATGCTAAGATGGTTTGAATGATATACAGGGTTAGTCCCCAGGGGTCATCCCCACCCCCTGCCATTTGAGAAAGTTCTAATATCTTGTAAATGGTCGAGATCCCCACCCCTAAACCATATATATTCTGGTTTGTCATGATAAAGCACATCAAATGTAATACAGGGTTAGTCCCCAGGGGTCACCCCCACCCCCTGCCATTTAAGAAAGTTCTAATATCTTCTAAGTGGTCAAGATCCCCACCCCTAAACCATATATATTCTGGTTTGTCATGCTAAGATGGTTTGAATGATATACAGGGTTAGTCCCCAGGGGTCATCCCGACCCCCTGCCATTTGAGAAAGTTCTAATATCTTGTAAATGGTCGAGATCCCAACCCCTAAACCATATATATTCTGGTTTGTCATGATAAAGCACATCAAATGAAATACAGGGTTAGTTCCCAGGAGTCACCCCCACCCCCTGCCATTTAAGAAAGTTCTAATATCTTCTAAGTGGTCAAGATCCCCACCCCTAAACCATATATATTCTGGTTTGTCATGCTAAGATGGTTTGAATGATATACAGGGTTAGTCCCCAGGGGTCATCCCGACCCCCTGCCATTTGAGAAAGTTCTAATATCTTGTAAATGGTCGAGATCCCCACCCCTAAACCATATATATTCTGGTTTGTCATGCGAAGATGGTTTGAATGATAAACAGGGTTAGTCCCCAGGGGTCATCCCGACCCCCTGCCATTTAAGAAAGTTCTAATATCTTCTAAGTGGTCAAGATCCCCACGCCTAAACCATATATATTCTGGTTTGTCATGCTAAGATGGTTTGAATGATATACAGGGTTAGTCCCCAGGGTCATCCGGACCCCCTGCCATTTGAGAAAGTTCTAATATCTTGTAAATGGTCGAGATCCCCACCCCTAAACCATATATATTCTGGTTTGTCATGATAAAGCACATCAAATGTAATACAGGGTTAGTCCCCAGGGGTCACCCCCACCCCCTGCCATTTAAGAAAGTTCTAATATCTTCTAAGTGGTCAAGATCCCCACGCCTAAACCATATATATTCTGGTTTGTCATGCTAAGATGGTTTGAATGATATACAGGGTTAGTCCCCAGGGGTCATCCCGACCCCCTGCCATTTGAGAAAGTTCTAATATCTTGTAAATGGTCGAGATCCCCACCCCTAAACCATATATATTCTGGTTTGTCATGATAAAGCACATCAAATGAAATACAGGGTTAGTTCCCAGGGGTCACCCCCACCCCCTGCCATTTAAGAAAGTTCTAATATCTTCTAAGTGGTCAAGATCCCCACCCCTAAACCATATATATTCTGGTTTGTCATGCTAAGATGGTTTGAATGATATACAGGGTTAGTCCCCAGGGGTCATCCCGACCCCCTGCCATTTGAGAAAGTTCTAATATCTTGTAAATGGTCGAGATCCCCACCCCTAAACCATATATATTCTGGTTTGTCATGCGAAGATGGTTTGAATGATAAACAGGGTTAGTCCCCAGGGGTCATCCCGACCCCCTGCCATTTGAGAAAGTTCTAGTATTTTGTAAATGGTCGAGATCCCCACCCCTAAACCATATATATTCTGGTTTGTCATGCCAAGATGATTTGAATGATATACAAGGTTAGTCCCCAGGCATCACTAATGCATATAACTTTACTGGATTAAACTAATTTTCACTGGACGTTGCCCAATGTCAGGCGACCCTGGGAATTACGAATTATGGGAGCTTCGTTTGGGAGACTTCGTAACAGCATCCTGTTACAATCATTTCTTGTTTAAGTAAATAATGACATCAAAAGCACTTATTCGTGTCAGAGTAGGGCTACTTTTAAATACAGTCTAAATTATAGGGAGTGAATTGGTGGTCTGACACCTAAACGTCCCTGTAAAAAAACTGTTATCTTACAATGAATATAATTGTAATAAGTTTTACACGCATTTTAGGATGGGTGCTCATAATAAAAAATACAAATTTTGGTGAGAGATCTTTGCCATCTGGAAGTGAAGTTGGTATGTACACATATATTTTCTATCATTGTATGACGCTATAAAATAAATATAGCATATTCTATGCTTAAAATATAACACCAAAATGAAGTTCAAGGAATTGGTACATCCGGATGCGACACCAGTATTCTGACAATAACTTCATGCTTTACGTTTAAAGAAGTTGCAGACCTAAAAAGTAAGAATCAGATTTCGATCGTGTATTTTTTTTTGTTTAATCCGTTATATACTGTTGAATTTAATATGCTTGGTTTCGATCCGTTATATCGAAAAGTAACTTAAAATCGGGCATCTGGTAGATCAAATTAATGCTCACAAGCCTTGCGTTGTTAAAATTATCACTGGATAAAAATTATTACCTATGTGTCTGCCTTTGCTCCTACATATTCCTACATATTCAAATATAAATGATACATTTCCAAAATTCAACATTCATACTAAACCTACGATAATAAAATAAGAATGCATGTTTTAGTTGTAATATATATGTTGTTTAACTGATACCACAAGGTACCAATATTTGAGAGTGGGATGTATAAAAACATTACATCGACTGAAAACAACTGAATATGGAACAATCTGTTCGAAATTCTTAAGCCAATTTCATATGTAGAAGTTTTGTTGTTTTACTTATTTTAATAATTGTATTGGTGAATAACATGAATAACTGTACATATTTTGCTTTCATCCGATCATTAATTGATAATGAGCAATTGTTTTCCATCGAAGCATTGAACACCAGCGTCTATTTCTTCCTTCCTTTTCTGATTTCAAATCCGGGGTATAGTTCAAAGCACAGCAGACGGTGCAATTTCAGTAGTGACGTCAATTACCTGCAGCCCATGTTTTGTTGGAACTAGAACATGGCAATGTTTCCAAAGCAAAAGAAGAATGTCATAATAGAATATAGTTCTTTTTTTTTTTGGTCTGTTGTATTGCTTGTTTAGTTTGTTTTTTAATCGCAACATTATAACAACCCTCAAAGTACCCCAACTCAGAGTAAAAATATTTAAGGGTCCTTTATCTAATTTTTGCAGCTATACCCTTTGAATGCAAACATAATTCTACTCCAAAATGATGTACCTGACAGTTTAATTTTTATTAAATTACGTCCCTGGAGATTCGTAAAATTCGTACTCTTTCTCGTCATTTCCCCGTTGACTCAATTGTAAACCTAGTAACCAAGATATATCTAGCAAAACAGGCTACTTTTAACAGTTTAAATTGAGGGGAAATGACGTCTCGCATCGATTCGAAAAAGTGAATTGTTCGGGATTGTTTAAAATGCGGATAAGTTTGGATATGTTTAGATGTGTTGCATGAATTTTCCGACATGAGCAGAACATCATAGCTGTTGACGTATTTTAAAAGTAGCTATAAAAGAGGGGCGAAAGATACCAAAGGAACAGTCAAACTCATAGATAGAAAATAAACTGATAATGCCATGGCTAAAAAAAGACAAACAGACAAATAATAGTATACAAGACATAACATAGACGACTAAAGACTACGCAACACAAACCCCACCAGAAATTGGGGGTGATCTCAGGTGCTATGGAAGTGTAAGCAGATCCTGCTCCACATATAGCACCCGTCGTGTTGCTCATGTTATTACAAACCTGGTAAATAGTCTAATTCGGTAGGTCACATTCGTGAAAAAGGAACGGGATTGTAGTTACGACATAAGGAACATATCCGATATCATTTGTGAAACGGATATTCCATAACGGCCAACCAACTCGTGATAGCGTCCGTAATATTTACGACGGGATGATTTCAACTTCAGCATTTGGAACTCTTGGTTTAAAAGCTTCCTTGTGAGCAGCAACCCTCCATCAAGGAAATCATGATAGAAAATATAGGCCCGGGAATATCGTATCAATTGGGAGATATATACTCCGTATGCAGGCGCTGCTGGTATGTTGCTTCAAAGAAATGGAAAGTTCACAATTGGGAAGCTGAAATCATCTCTTTTGTCGTTAAGTTTCGTTTTCATCCGACCCTAATTGTCAATTTCTAGATGTAAGTCGAGATATGTGGCAGACTCAACTGTATCTGTTGTATCCTTTATCTATAAATATATAGGCATGTTGACATTAGCAAACAGGCATTTGTCTGACTAACTTGTCAACATTTAGATTTTTTAAGGGAGTGGTTATCCCCAACCTTACAAGAATACATATAGACTGTGCTAATCGGGAGAAAATGAATTAAATGCGTTATTTGCACACTGAAAAAGTAAAAACTCTCAATGTACATCCCACAAATCAGGTCAGTACCGTAGGTTAAAATAGGAGAAACATGAATCACAATTTACAAAAAGAGATAATTCCGACCACTTTAAAGTCCAGTATGAGCATTCCGTTAAGGAGATTAACAAATATAAAGAAATGCTAACACCTTAGCTTTCTGACCAAGTAAAAATAGCAAAAAAAATAGCAAAACTCATCTCAAGTTCACTTTCCATTAATTGAGCAGAATAAGTTTATGGTTTCATAGCGAAAAGGTTCATTATTGAGGATGAAAGAAACAAAATATCATACTATTTTTTCAGAAAATCTTAAAAGTCTCTTTGAAGAATATCATTACAATGTTAGATATTACAAAGATGTTTCCGCTGACAAGCTTTTACAACATGTTGAGGCATGCGCATCCAAAGCCGATTCGAAGTGTTTTGTCTGCTTCATAAGCAGTCATGGCGACTTCTCATCAATTGAATGCATGGGAGGTGAATGTGTTGAAACAAAAGATATCCTTAAAAAAGCAAACACAGTACAGCTTAAAGGACAACCAAAATGTATCTTCATTGATGCATGTCGCACAGGTAAGTTAAGTTACAAAAATCGATAATGATATACATGATTGATTGTAGATGGTTTAATGTTCAGTGGCAAATATTTCTGCATTGATAGGAGGGGAACAAGTTTACAATGCATACAACAGGAGGAACATGTTATAGTGGTAATGAATTCAGCCTTTCACACAGGCCAACTCTAGACCTGTCTTACACAAAACCAGGTTCAACCCACCATTTTTTCTTAAAAACGTCCTGTACCAAGTCAGGAAAATGGCCATTGTTATATTATAGTTCGTTTCTGTATGTGTTGCATTTTAGGATTGAGTTTCTGTTGTGTCGTTGTTCTTCTCTTATATTTGATGTGTTTCCCTCAGTTTTAGTTTGTAACCCGGATTTGTTTTTTTTTCTCAATCGATTTTTGAATTTCGAATAGCGGTATACTACTGTTGCCTTTATTTAAATAGTTGCTGCAATGGTTTTAACATGCAAAGCGGTGGTATCGAATTTAACATCCCAGTTGTGACCGGAATTGGATGCGTACTTATACATCCCACACAAACAAACGCACGCCAAATTTTGGCCAGTGTTTTACTTTGGATGGGAAGAAGACCACAGTGGCAAAATGTCTATTCCCCAGCCACCATTGGGGTTAATATACAAGTTTACTCTTCCTGCAGGTTTTTTTGTAGGGAATTTAAATTACAGTTTGTTTTAAGATTACTTAAAGGATACTTTCTGTGTTAGTCTACATTATTTCCTTTCCTCAAGAAAGTTTCGCATATAAAGCTTTGTAAACTTCTAAAATATTTTGGCAAGATACAGATTACAGTATGTGCTTGAATTATCTATGATATCTATCTAAATCATTTGCCATTAACCATGTTTGTCAGAAAATATTTCGACAAAACTACGATTTGGTCATTTTTTATGTATTTTATGAATAATAATGAAGTCGCGTTTATGCATAGTATTATGCATGGACTAATATGGTAATTGTTTCATTCAGAATAAACTAAATTTTCTAAACAAGTATGTCGATATGCAAGCTCAAATTCTTTCAGTTCTTTCAAATCTCAATAATAATAATAATTTCTCACAATTATATATATTGATTTTCATTCAATATAAAGGTGGCCATTGTAGAATATTGATTTAATATTAATCTAGATTTTAACAGAATAGGATAATACATAGAAGATGTAGTTTTAACATAATTACCTATACTCCTCTTAATGGACGTGTTCCGAAATGGTATATACATGTACTCAATGATGATGTTGACAAATTAAACATTAAATGTAGGTTAAATATCAATACACAAAACTGATTTAAAGATTTAAGGTTTATTTCCCATAATGAAGCCCTTGTTTATGACAAAATATTCAAAGTGCAATTGTAACATAAAATATTGTTAGTCGGACAAAAAAATTCATAATGAAATAATATCCAGGACAACATTTCATTATATCCATGATAATTTTTCACTTTGAAATTATGTCATTGACGGAATACTGTCTATTATTACATTAATTCACTGTGAAATTGTGTCCATTATAATTCGTCACCTCCTTCTACACAATATTTCAATATGAAATCCTGTCCATGACAATATTTAACTATGAAATTCTGTCCATGACAATATTTCAATATGAAATTATGTCCATGAAATATTTTTCCTATCATGACAATTTTTCACTATGAAATTCTGTCCATGAAAATATTTCACTTTGGAATACTGGCTGTTATGACACTAATTCATTGTGAAATTTTTTCCATGATGTCTTTTACCTTTTGTCGTAAAGTTTTGATTCGTATACGTAAAATTGAAGTATCATAATCTAGGGATGACAACTTCTAAGTATGTCTAGCATATTCACCTTTTGTAAAATAGACTTTTGTAGCGCTTTGGCTATATAAACTTAAAAACTTATAAAACGTTTGATTAGATCGAGGGGCAACTAGTGTAGAGAGTCGCATAGTCATACATGACCCATTAATTGATTTGTTAGGAACGTGAATATTTTTTGTTTACATGAAATTTAATAAGAACTATTTGTACTACAAAATTATAATGCCATTGTATGCATCAACGTTAATAGTTTAAAGGAACCATTCTATAGGACAGACATATCATACTAGAATCCGATAATGAAACGATAATTTACGGGTTTATGTTAAAAGAAGACATGACGCTGATAAGTGGTAATGACTACGATCTTTATCTATTTTACTTTTTATGAATCGCACGAAATTAAGTGTAGCAAGCATTTGCGTCAACAAAATAACACACTGTTGGTAGTTATCCAAGAAAAGTTATATTCGTTATTTTCTAATCTAAATATAGGAGCGTTAAATCTTTTGATTTTCAGTAAAATTGAGAATGGAAATTGGGTATGTGTCAAAGAGACAACAACCCGACCAAAGAGCAACTGAAGGCCACCAATAGGTCTTCAATGCAGCGAGAAAATCCCGATCCCGGAAGCGTGCTTCAGCTGGCCCCTAAACAAAAATGTATACTTGTTCAGTGATAATGGACGTCATACTAAACTCCAAAATATATCAAAGAAACTAAAATTACAAATGTATGTCACTAGCTTAAAACAAACGTTAAATTTCTTTGTTTTATCGTTTCAAAAACCTTTTATGCATGAAGCTTTTCCTCATTGATGCAGGCTGTGCATTGACTTTTTAGCTCACCTGGCCCAAAAGGGCCAAGTGAGCTTTTCTCATCACTTGGCGTCCATCGTCCGTCGTCGTCCATTGACTTTTACAAAACCAAACTTAGCATAAATCATCCTTAAGGTATCTTGTTTAAAAAATGTATTCGATGACCCCGCTCGTCAACCAAAATGACCGCCATGGCTAAAAATAGAACAAGCGGGTAAAATGCAGTTATCTGAAACTAAAGCATTTATAGCAAATTTGACAGGATTAAAAATGTTTATCAAATGAAGATCTATCTTCCCATAAATTTTCAGATGCATCAGACAACCCGTTGTTGGGTAGCTGCCCCGGACTTAGTAATTTTCAGGACATTTTGCAGTTTTTGGTTATTATCTTGAATATTATAATAGATAAAGATAAACTGTAAACAGCAAAATTGTTCAGCAAAGTCAAATCCACAAATAGGTTAACATGACCAAAATGATCAATTGAACCAATAAAGAGTTATTGCTCTTTAAAGTCAATTTTTCACAATTATTCATCACTTGGCGTCCGTCGTCGTCCATTAACTTTTACAAAAAACTTCTCCTCTGAAACTACTTGGCCAAATTGAACCAAATTTGGCCTAAATCATTCATATGGTATTGTGTTTAAAAAGTATATCTCTTTATCCCGCCCATCAACCAAGATGGCTAAAAAAAGAACATAGGGGTAAAATACAAGTTCTGTCTAATATTTGAAACGCTATAAATAGAGAAAATCTGAAAGGAGGAAATTTCTTCAGAATAATGAGCTCTACCAATTGTCAATAAACGTCAAAATTGTTAGAAAAATTCTTATAGGAGTCATTGCCCATAAATGAAATTTAAAAAAAAGTATTTCATTTTTGCCTATTATCATAAAAACTATGATATTTAAAAAGAGAAACATTTTGTTTTCTGTTCTGCATTATATGATTTAAATTAAAATAGATAATTAACACTTTAAATCACAAAAATTATCAGTAATGCAAGATCTATTAATAAGTCAAAGAAACTAAACAGACTGAAAAATCAGTAATACAAGATCAACAAAATAGATAATTTTGTCAGTAAGTCTATTCTTGTCTACAATGTTGGAGAGTGTCCTTTGTTAAATATGCACATATACCAAGTCAAGGTGAGCGACACAGGCTCTTTAGAGCCTGTAGTTTGTTTACATCCTTGCATTGTGGTGTGTAGTGTAAAGTTCCATCATTTCAATCACACCACATATCTTTATAATTTGCAATTCTTGCGATTTGTTAATTTATTCCTCAATTATGACGACTTCAGTATGTACATTAAAGAGATTTATCCTGCCGAACAGACTTAAAACAAAGCTAATACTAACAATGAACACTGCCCTTTCCTGGATCTTGATATCTATATCTTTGACGGGAAGCTTTATACCAAATTCTATGATATAAGAGATGTTTTTTTTTTCATTTCCAATTGTTAATTATCCATTTTTAAATGGTGACGTTCCCTTATCACCATCTCATGGTGTTTATATATCAACTTGTTCGATTCGGTCGTGTATGTAACAACGAAAACAATCTCTGTATTACTGAAAAAAATATTACACCAGGGTTTTCGATATCACAAACTAGTCAAAACATTTACTAGATTTTATCATCGGTACAAGGACATCATTCGTAAATAGAAATCAACATGCAGACGTCTTATACGTTCAGGTATTTCACATTCAATCTTTTATGGTAATATTCTTTATAAGGCACAAAAATGTCGGCAATCACCTCAAAAGCTATCGAAATCTTTAAACAGACTTTTTAGGAAGGGATATAGTTACGATACTGTTGTCAGTTCGTGTTCATTAAAGATTACATATTTTGGTATTATTATTGATTCACTCATAGGGTCTTTGAATAGGAAATAAACAAATTTATTCTAAAACATATGCATTATACAGGTGATGTTCCTCTCATATATTTTATGATAGCATGATACTAAACCCCTAACGGTAGGGATTCTTCTTGATTTTCATATGATGAAGACATAATCTTGTAATCAGTTTAATTGAAGTCTGGAGCTGGCATGTCAGTAACTGCTAGTAGTCCTTTGTTATTTATTTATCATTGTCATTTTGTTTAATTTCTTGTGTTACCTATTCTGACATCGGACTCGGACTTCTTTTAAACTGCGTTTTACTGTGCGTATTGCTGTGTGTTTTTTATTCTACATTGGCTAGAGGTATAGGGGGAGGGTTGAGATTTCACAAAACATGTTTAACCCCGCCGACCACCAACACCACGTAATTTATGAAAAAAAAACCTTAAAAAAATTATTTACACTCCAAAAATAAATAATTCATTATTTATTACAAACTTTCAAGTTCTTTAAATGTAGTAAAGTTAATCGTTTAAATATGCAAGATTTCATTTTTATTTGAAAGGGAGTTTTTAAAATCTTGTACAGCTACATGTTCACAATTCTTGAATATATAGTATAAGTGGTAATCAGTGAATTAAACTTGATATTATTTTGATTATATCTTTTTTTAAAATTCCGTACCTTTTTTGCATTATAGGTAGAGGAAGCAGACCAGCAATTCCGGATGACAACTTTTTTGTTGGAATGTCATCTCTTGCTTACACTGAAAGTATGGCAGATGATCATGTAGGAGATTATTATCTTCACTGCATAGCAAACGTATTTAAGGAAAGCTTTGCGTTCCCTGCTTATGGCGATGGTTACGTGTAAGCTTTAATTTTGGATAATTCATTATATATTCTAACCAGACAAAAATTACCATATGTCGTCGAATGCACCAAACTCAATGAATATGTGCCGCTATATTAAAAGTTCCTTTTCTGTGGGTAATAAAAAACAAATTAAAAGCCAATTACAAGACTAATACACATAAGCAAAATATGGTATACCATTTACTCCAAGGCAAATTCAAAAAGGGGAAGCCCATAAAAAAAATAAATACGTGAAAAACATCTACGATATTCTTGACTTGATACAGCAATTTATCGAAGCTAAACATCATAATGTATGCCAGTTTTTTTATAGTTCTTGTTTTATTGACAAACTTAGTCTGAAAAAAGCACCACCCTCTTCATTGCTGAAAATTTAGGTACTTGTATACATTATCTACGGGATGAAGAATGTAAGTTGTTTTAACTATACAACAATACCTATACAGCAATGCCTATTTATATCTATGTACTATGGTAACTTTTTGTATTCTTGTCTTTCATTTTGCTAGTAGGCTTTGTCTATACATCTTTTTGTGTTTCTTTGTTACATATTTGATTGTTCTTATAGTGATTAAGACTGCTGTACCCCAATTTTGACATTTTTACCTATTATGTCTGTCTGTTTGTTCACAGATTGTCGTCTATATAATGGTATTGAATGCAACTCTCATACAAACTAGAGGTTTAGCAAGCTATATAAGCAAATTTAATCCACCATTTTCTACATACGAAAATGCCTGTACCAAGTCTAGAATATAACACTTGTAATCAACCCGTTTGGTGTGTTAGAGCTTTCGACTTTGCCATTTGATTATGGACTTTCCGTTTTGAATTTCCTCGGAGTTCGGTATTTTTGTTATTTTACTTTTAGATGTATAAATACCGAAACACGTCGTATAGCAATGCAAATTAACACCCAACAGTCATATTCAGGAATAGATTACGTTCGATATTTAACAGACCGACGACATAGATGTCAAACCACAATCTACGACTTGGTAAAAATGTCGTAAGTCAGTTTAAACACCGACACATTGTATCAACTAATTTGTGATGGTGTCCATAAAATTTATGGAGTGTCATTTTTAATATTTCCTCCTCATACCTCTTAGACAATGGTGGATTTTCAACATTCATGTATTTGGTTATGTTTCTTCATTCGGTTCGGTTAGTGTAAACATATTTTATTAATCAAATTCAAGTTAATGAATGTACACAATTTGGCATTTACATATATATATACATAATTGAATAATTAATTGGATCCGGAAACTAGCTGTTAACTTATATTAATCCGTTTCCTAAACTACGGTTCGGTTTGATATTGTGTTATGTCTTATCGTTTGTGGTTTGAATTCTGTATTGTCGGTACATTTCACATATGTCTTACTTGTCAGTATAGTAGAGTTAATTTCAATTTTCTGTGGATAAGGTTTTGTGTAAGCCAACAAAATTATGACGTCGTCACAGCATTAATATAAAATAGCCTTTCAAGACCGTCATAATAATGATAGTTATTTGGACTAGTATCTGAGTTTTTTGAAAATAATTGTGAATTTGTTGATCTCGTTTAATATAATTGTAAGCATTCCCGCTTATATGGCAATGTTAAAAATTATCGCCAAAAGGACATCATTACGTGACAGGAATACAGTACAAGCAAACGCAAGAACACTTAGCACAGAGAAACGCATACATAAATAATATAAAAGTCGTTACAACATGTTCTTTTATTCATTAAATGTCATTTCTTAAAACAGCATTTTTTCTTAATGCTACCCTTCATAATATCACTCCCTAATTTTAAATCCAGCTTAATTGTTCATGTTGTAATTTAAACAATACTTATGATGTTTATTATACTGCATGATTATTTTGTTTATATACCTTTCAGTCGTGACATTGATTATCTGATGAAGAAAGTACACAGGGATGTTCAATGGTATGCTGACAGCAATGGCGATTCCCAAAAGCCAATATATGAAAGTTCACTTAAAAGTCAACTGTTCCTTCAAGGAACAGAAAACTCTTAAATATGATATCAACTCTTATTTGTTTCGATGTACACTGTCATTTGCCAATATACATATTTTCAATGAAGCAAATGTATGTATTATTAATTTTATATACAATACATTCTTTTAATTAAAGTTTAGGAAAATAATTTGCGAAAGGATGGACATTGTGGTGAGAAAGTTAATGAATGAAGTAATTTCCAGTTTGTAACGCATATTATACGATTTCGATACAACCCATTTTTCCCTCTTTCATTGTTTGTAAGTAGTTATTTCTTTCAGAACGACAGGTTATTCTTTCGAAGAATCAACCCAGACGATACCAAGTTTCAATGACATTTACCTGTATAATGTCATATTTTTCTTGATAAAAATGCAAACTTTAATTACTTAATCATGTATTTCGTTTGATAAATATCATGTGTTGTTGCCATTTTTTTATTTTCTATATTTCGCTTTTGTAAGGCAGAAACAATCTTTCCTCCGTTTATTGGTCTGAAATACCGAAACTTGCCGTTGACGCACAGTTTAACTGTCAAAACAAATAATGTGAAGTTAACTTAATTTATCGCTACGATAAAGGATACTATGTGAGATGAATTTTATTATGCAAAACTTTTCATAAAAAAGCCAGATTTAACACATTCGTGAGTAGGATTGGGAAATCTTATTTATTCATATACTATAGGAAAATATAATTTCACCTATGGATATTCGTTTTTCGTGTTACATGAACATGTATCATGATTTCGTGCTCTCTTAATGCAAGACTTTTTTTGTACATCTTTATATATATCTTTTACTCTATATAATGAACAAGTGTACAAACATTCCTATTTTATATAGAATCACACACACGTACTTTAAAATGGGGAGGGGATATTATATTTCATCCCGATTCTTAAGTTGTATTAAAATTTAAAAAAAAGTGGTAGTACCAGACATAAGAGAGAAAACAATTATTCCGAATGATTATTCGTTTATAAAATTGTTGAAAAAATGATCTGCCTTTTCGCGATAAAATTTCATGAAAATACACAAAACAAAACATAAATCCCTCTTTCATAAAAAAAAAGTTGATACAATAAATTACTTACAAAGTGACTTGTATCATTTGTACACCGTAACAATTAATGTGCGTCTTGCTTTGTGCTGTTAAAGCAATATTTCTATTGAAACTGGATAATGATTTCTAATGTTTATGTATCTAAATTAATTAGTGAGATTTATTACACATTATAAATGAGCCGTAGGGCATATTAAAACCTGAACACATCAGCAAATAATATCCAACTATAGTGTGGTCGGTAAAATAGAATGAAAGTACTGAAATGTTTTTGCAAAAAATAATATTTGTTGATCGCATATAAGTCAGATAATGCATATTTTAAGGTTTTTCTTGTCGTATAACACATCTCGGGATGTCAGGATTGCCCAAAGAAAGAACTCCTTACACCCGGTCTTTCATTTGACCAATCCTGACACCCCTTGGAGTGTTAAAATGGTTTACTTTTACAAATTATGACTTGGATTGAGCGTTGTTTCCTTGGCACTCATACCATATATTCTTATATATATTATCTTTAACATACTTATCGCAATTCTAACACTTTCAAAATATATAGCCGAAATTTAACCAAAGACCCAACATAACGTGCAGGTTACGGCTGCCCTATTGACGTCTCATAAGGTTTATGTTGTCATACAATAATGTTACTTTATCATGTTATACCATACTGCTAACTACCTTTCCCACCCGGCACTCAACGTCATTTCAACGTTGATAAATGATTGATGTTTGGTCATGACGTTGTTTCAACGTTGTTTCAACGTTGAAATAACAACGTTGAGTTTAGGTTGAAGAAAGTATGTTGTTTCAACGTTGAATTTCGGTTGTTTCTACAACGTTGAATTATGGTTGCAGAAAGTATGTTGTTTCAACGTTGGATTTTGGTTGTTTCTATAACGTTGAATTATGGTTGCAGAAAGTATGTTGTTTCAACGTTGGATTTGGTTGAATCTTCAACGTTGAATTTAGGTAACAGAAAGTATGTTATTTCAACGTTTAATATAGGTTGATTCTTCAACGTTGAATTTAGGTTACAGAAAGTACATTGTTTGCTGAATTTTGGTTGAATCCTTAATGTTGAAGGTATATATATATATGTTGAAAAATGCTGTTTAAAAGTTGATTCTTTTATGTTCAAATCAAGGCACTGGCTGTGGTTACACACAGAAACTAAAAAACAATAAGAAATAGCTAAATTGTTATAAGCGCTGGTGAAGTGGACCCCCTTTTTTATTTTTGTGTTTCTTTTATTTAATTGACAATATTTTTTTTCATATTTCAACCTATTTTTACTCAATTTAGCTTATAGTTAATAATTATAAGTGCATGTTCAACAGTTTTTATATTAAATGCAATTCTACTTTATACATTTTCCCTCTTATTCAATAGGATACGACTCCCGATACGACTTAAAAAGTCTCAATATACTTTTTTTGGTTAATTACAAACAATTAATTTACAGTGGCAGATCCAGATTTTTTTTAAAAGGGCACTGACTATAACCTATAATATATAGGGGTCCGCTCTAGTCATGCTTCAGTGATTCCATTTATAATTTACCCCCCCCCCCCCCCCCCACACACACACACACACCTTTGATCCGCCTATGAATACTAAGCGGTGATAAAACTGAATAGCAGAAATGGTGACTTTTTCAAGTTCAGGTTGTATATAAATGCCAAACGAATGACCAACTTTAACTAATTAAGTCCACAATATAATTATATCGTCATATTGACAAAAATGATAGTCGGAAATTATCAAATAGAACGAAAGCACGCGTGCGCGGCTTTTGGCGGCATTTCTCTGCATACGCGCGTTGGTCAAGTCACTCCTAAATCCAAAACAGCACATCACCCAGAAGAAGATTGTATTAGAAGTTTTGTAAGTATATATTAACTTGTCTACAAATATATGGATACTTTAAATTTTGTTTTATCATACTTAAATTATATATTATTCTTTCAACATCAGTTAGATAAACTGTTTAGTCGCGACAGGAAATATATATTATTGCATGGTGGACATTTTGAGGTGAATCAACTGAACATTCAAAGAAATTATTAATTAGCCAACACAATTTGTCAGTTTAAATAAACGTAATTAAATCAATTCATATTTATTCAGATAAGATTGCTTCTGGGTATGGAAATTATGTTTTAATTTAAAAAAACGAGGTGAATTTTGACACGGAACAAAAAACCGGAAGTATGTTCGCATTTGTAAGGATTTTAGGTAAATTTATAAACAAAAATTTGACACGCTAAATATGATCAAATATAAAACGCTCGTATTTACGCTGTCTTTGAACTAATTAAGTCATTGAGTGTAGTAGTCGGTCGAGGACCAGCTTAATATATTCTAACCAGATGATGTAAAAAAATGAAAAAGTAAGATGAAGGACCTCGTTTTGAATCCTAAACTTTTTTTCAGAAATTAATGAATATAACTGTATAACATAAATCACCTGGAACTTGTACAGCTGTCATGACTACATGTAGTCATTATTGAAGAGTGACCATGACTTCTCTAGTTGAAAAATTAACATATATTCTTGCATTTGTAAACAAATGTAATTTATGCAGTAAATCACATTGTAGTCTGTTTTGTCCCTTTTATTACAGTGCGGCCGAGATAAAGCCATTAACAAAAATTCAGTGTTGAAGATTGAATGCACCACCCGGGGGGCCTACTGACCATCTTTTTGGGTATAACTGTGCCGATAGCACTTGCCAAATGAGACCCTGTTCTAACCAGAAAATATTGAAAAACATACCCTGTTCTAGACACACTCAGAACATTTATACCCTGTTTAAGATATTTAGACTGTTATTTTACATAAGCGATCCTGTTCTAGACTGTATGTTTAAAAAGTGTCCCTGTTCTAACAACAGGACATGAAAAAAGGACCCTGTTCTAAAAGCATGGCATGAAAGAAAAAGGGACCCTGTTTTGCGGCACACCCATACCACGTAAAATATACATAAAGATATATAATACAGAGTTTTATTTCTACTGTACTCAATATCCTGTACATATAAAAATAAGAAGTGGTATATATCGATGCCAATGAGACAACGAATCCATCCATCATGTCCAAGACTCAATGCAGTGAAATAATGTACATTGTAAGTGTATACACCATGTTATATGGAAACCTGGGTTGATTTTCCTTTTTGATTCTTACAAAATAGCAGTAGTGGTAATCTTAGTATTTTATTTTTAGTAGCGAGTGATGCTTTTGTATATCTTGGCCACTTCAAATAAAATTGAGTGAACAAATACTGTTTTAAAATTCATGTAAATAATATGAATTGAACAAAAGAAGATGGGGTATGAGTGCCAATTAGACTCTTAATCGAAGATTTATTGTACATGTATTTAATTCATGTTAATTGTATATATTTAGTCAGATTCATCATTATTGTATCCATGCACTTGTAATTGACAGAAGTAGTGAATACACTATTTACTTTTGTCTGTCTCATGATGATGGGTGGCAAGGTCCTCACAAGGTTGGTGTCTGTCTCAGATGGTCATTCTTAACCTTTTTAAGAAGGTAAAAATGTACTAATGGGTGTGGTTTCATTATTTTGGTATTTTGCTTTTAACAACAAGTGACACTTTTTCAAATCCTGGCGGTTTGAAATAATAAGTAACTACAAATAGGGGCTGGTGCACACTTAGTTACAGATGTCACCATCATGTGTACCTGTATATGCTTTGAAGTTATGCATTGTATACAAAATGTCTCCAGGAGCTACATGTAGCATGGTCAGATAGATGTCAAGAAAAGATATTTTGGTCTCCTAAGAGGGATATATAATCGACAGTTTATAAATTTATGTAAATTTTTACCCAAAGGTTTGAATTTTATTTAAATTTTTTTACCAACTATATAGCTAACTGACATTGAAGTTAGCAATAAATGATTAAAAAATGTATAACTATTTTCACTGTTTCATTACAGGTTTTATAGTCTGTTGGTTATTTGATTATAAGTAGTCTGGATATACCATTATAAAATAGGATGGCAGAAGGAAATGGAAGAGATCTACCTGTGAGTTTATAAAATTACTTTTTTTAAGCATTAAATTATAAAACCGAAAAACATGGCTTCACTAAGCGTTGGATGTTGATATCTTATCAATAATAAAAGTCTGTAAATTAAATACATGTATTAAATTAAATCAATTATAAAAATATAGCACTCGCAGAGAGAAATTCATCTGTGATGGTTTCTCAATTTCAGAGATGAATCCATTTTGCAGAGGAGCCTACAGGGAGGAGATAACTGCTATTTGGCATGTTGCATGAGAATGCATGTCACATGTTTTTGTCACAATCATGTTTATTAAGG